CCCCTTTCCTTTTTTCTTCACCCCCCCCCCCCACACACACACTTCTTTTGTTTTTATTTATTTATTTATTTAATTTTTCTTTTTGCCGCACAATACATGACACAATCCTTTCAAGAGGAGAGAGAAGAGAGAAAATAAAAAGAAATAAAATAAAAAAAAAACAAAAAAAAAAGAGGAACAGACGCACAGAACGTTGAGAGGGGAAAAAGCAAAGGGAAGGAAAGAAAGAGGGAGCAGAAACGGGGAGTTTTTTTGTTTGTTTGTTTGTTTTATTTATTTGAATTCCCACGCCTCCTTCGCTTCCTCTTCTCTCACTCTCTCCGCCCTCCACCCCCTCATCTCCTTTTTTCTTTCACCCCTCCGTTCCCTCCCCATTCCCCTTCCCCCTCCATCGACATTATTTCAGTGCATCGTTTTGTTGTTTTTTTTTTTTTTTGGTTTTTGTTATGTTTTTTCTTTCTTGTTGTTGTTCTTGTTTTCATACGCTGCCATTGATATCAATGAAGCAAAAGACACGTACACACACACAAATACCATACGATACGTTACATGTGAATAGGAACAACAGACGGTTTTGAATATTCCGCAAAGAAAAAGGAAGATGAATAGAAATGTGTATTATTTTGTTTGCTGTTGTTTGTTTGCTGTTGTTGTTTTTTCTTTTTTTCCTCCTCCGTCTCTCATTCAATTGAACAGGTGCGGTTGAAGGTGATAAATGGAGCAACGATAAAAGTGTGCAATATAAACCAGCAAGGAAAGAAAGGCAAAAAGAAAAAGAGAACGAAGGAGAAGTGTTTTACGAAGCGAACGGGTGCAAGTTGTGATGTGGCGGCACTACGGCCATTGACTGAACGTGAGTGTGAAGGAAAATAAATAAAATAATAATCAAAAAGAAAAAGAAAAGATAATAAAATATATGCATTTTGAGGAAATTTCATTTAAAAAAAAAAAAAACTATATATTTATTTATATTTATTTATTTATTTATATATTTATTTAAAGAAATGAAAAGAAGGAATTTCTTTTGTTTTTTGTTGCTTCTCTTTTGTTTTGTTTGTTTGCTTTAGTTTACCTTTTTTTTTTTTTACTGTCCTTCTCTCTTTTTCTCTCTTCTATGCGTGTGTGTTTGTGTGCGTGTGTAGGGTAGGGAAGCGAAAGGAAGGGAAGGGAAGGGGGATGGTGGGAGGAGGAGGAGGAGGTGCTTCCTGCGAGGGGGGGGTTTCGTTTTTTTGTTGTTTTTTGTTTTGTTTTTTGTTGTTTTGAGGGACGTCGGGTTGAGACTCTCTGGTTGTCCGCCTGTTTGTGTTGGCTGCTGGCGCTGTTATTTCTTTCGTAGTGGAGGTGCGCTCATCTTTTGTTTTGTATACATGCATGCATACATGCTTCTGGCGGCTGCAGGGGGGGGGAG